TTCCGAAAATTCTTAATATTTACTGTTTGTACACATATTAAGTCAATTGGAGAGAGAGTGTTTATGTGGTGAGTGGGTGTAAGAAAAAGGTGGAAAAAGTAAGAGAGAGCATGAAATTAAAACAAGGGTGGGTGTAATAAAAAGGTAGATAAAGAAAGAGGAAGTGAAGTAAAAAAGGGGTTTTCCAGAAATGGATTAAAGTGCAAATGTTAAGAACTTTCTAAAACGGATGAAAACGGTAAGTGTTAAGAACTTCCAAAATGGAGGGCAGTATGATATATCATGAGGAAAAAGCTGAATTTTGAACATAGGAGCAAGCAAGTGGAGCAGATCAGCATACAATCAAGTACCAAACATGTATCCAACCAACATGGAACTCTTTTCAATAAATAAACTCTCCGGCCTTTGTGGGACAAGATGGTTACCCTTATCTTAGAAGTAATCTAAGTGAACTCACCAGGATGGTCAAAGTTGCATTCATGAACTCGTAAAAGCTTCTCCTCCGTCAGATTATGATAAAATGAATCCTGTCAAATCATTTAATGCAATTGATGGAGTAATGACCAAGGGTTGAAATTAAGCATTAGAAGAATACAAGTATGATAGCAAAACACAATCTGTGTGTAGACTCCAGGCTGGTGCTTTGGTGATAAAGTGGAGCCAATAGTCTTATAATTAAGTCATGTACACTACGTTACCAGCAATGAAACCAATGGACTCTTGGCTAAAGGCCTACAATTTTCAAGTTTTATCATTGACAAGGAATAATTTATAAATCATGACAAATCCCACTCACGAGTTATTCATGGTAAATTAAGTACTTCATTACAAATTCCATAAGGAACTTGTAGACACCTCCAGCTCAAAGCAGATGCACGAATTATATTAGAGCATTAATGATTTATTACACCTCTTTTACTAAAATTTTGGAAGATTGACCCTAATTAAAATACTGCAAACAAAACAGAGTAATAGAAAGTTATAGAACTATAGTAAGGAAATTAGGAAATATGGGGAAACTAAGTTCAAACAAAATATTATAATCAGTAATGCAATAGAATTAATTAAGGATTTCACTACACAACACCCATCAACACACCCCCCCCCTCCCAAAATAGAGAAAGAAATAGACCTTGCCCATACTTTTATGTTTTGGTTTGCCTATAGTTACGAATTGTTGTTAATACTTGACAAGATTTTTACCTGATTAACAACCACCACACGCTGGTCATGAAGCTGCTGAATAATCATATCACAAACGGTAGTCTTTCCCGATGCTGCACCTCCTGCAACTCCTGCTCAGGGAAATGTCTGATTAAACAACAAAATCAACCGAAAGGAAACATGCGAAGAAAATAGTGAAAGAAAGCAAGTGACCAAGCATGGAAATTCAGGCAACTAATGCTTCTATTTATCTCCAGAAGAAATAGAAACAAGCAAACAAAAGAAAATGAAAGGTAGTAAGTGACTTACTACACGAACAAAGCATTAAAAGATTTCAGTGAAAGGGTAATGAGTGACATATAGGCCAGCCCCTATGCTAGCTTCGCTCAACTATATGCAAGAGCATTCCAGGACTTTATGGAAAAGGCAGAAGTCAGAAGAGTTAACAAATGACATATCTGTACTTACCGATGACAAAAGGTTCATTGTAAACATTTTCAGTAGATGTCGTTGGTTGTTCAATAACAGCTTTCCTGGATTCTATGCCATCCACGTGAAATCCAGAAAAATGGGCTCCTGATGAAGCCTCTATCATATCTACGATTGACTGGGAACCCATTCAACAAAGCTGCACACCACAAGGTATGAGGACATGTAAGGTGATTAAAATTGAATAATACTGCAAGCAGGTAATGTGCTGCTCCCACTAAAAGCAAGGACTTAGAGCCATATAAATTTTCAGAAGTATCTAGACATGCAAAATTTTGAAACTGTAGTGATTCCAGTAATTCACCACAGCATATATAAAAATTCAACGACCATTAGTGTTAGCTAGCTCATCAGAACACTATAAGGAGCATGCACAAATGTATCATCCATGAGTCAAGACACTCATCTAATATAACATTGGGGAACAAATCAGCAAAACATTTCTAGAAGCCCCTTCCTGTATTTGTTATCCTGAAAAATCAGGTTGAAAGAACCATATAAAGACATGACTTTTCCAACCCCCAAATATCTTCTACGTGAATTATTGACTACTAGAGTTATCAGAGTCTTTTATAGAAGGCCCAGTTTAAGTTTTATCATACATTTAGCTACCTAAAGCAGCCTTCTTGACAGAGTGGTCAAATGCTGGAAGGAATGGCAATTCCTAAGACTATAAGAGAACCACAATAATTAAAGTGAGGATTTTTTTTAATTTTAAATTATTTTTTGTCTGCAGGAGCCACTAGACCAGTTTATTGCTAACAATTGGAAAGGAGGAGTAGTACTTATACTAAAGTTAATGAATTTTTGTCTAAATTTGTTAGGAAAATCCTATACTAATGCCCGTGGGTTTTTTTTTTGGTCGAATCTTCATCAATTTCCATTACCGCTTAAGGAGGTGGAATTGGAAATACATGGTGATAAACACATGTTTGAGTATGGGGTGCCATTACCCTGGGCATTAGAATGAAACTCTCATTTGCAAAATTACGTTCATATACATTCTCACTACAGCTAGTCCGCTTATTATCACTACCAAAGAGATCATAATTACTTTAATGGCGATTATTTTTCTGACATCAGGCACCTCTATACAGACTCCAATCAAACAATATATACTCAAGGCATTATAGACGCGGAATCAAAGTCAGTGGTGCATTTATCCCTACTGAGTTCTGCCCCGTGACTAAACTAAACTTTAACTACAATAAAAAGAATGTCAATGCCTCCAAGTCAAATAATTAAATAAAAGGGTGCTTTGCTCAGGAATAAATTCCATGTTCCTTAGATTTGGTCTTCCACCAACTTATTTTATTCAACAATTAAACAAGTATACAAGCTATATATCAATGTCATTAGAACCTTAAAAATTCAAAATAATTATATCAACATCAATAAATATCATTCCCTTTAGGCTTTAGCTCTAAATCCCATAAACTTACCAGTTACCACTAGTAATAACAAAAAAAAAAAAAAAAAAAAAAAAAAAAGGAAAAAAAACCTCAAGTTCCTTTAAAATCAAGACATTAAATCTTAATTACCCACATTGATCTGACGCAAGCTGCTCATACATCAATTCAAACAATGGAATTATAAAAAACGACAAACAAAAATCCAATCTTTCTTTCAAAAAAAATTCCAGCTTATTTATCACGGATCAAATCTGAAACCAAGATACAATAAAGTTAATAATCTTTTTACTAGGTCAATTTTATTCACGAAACAGGAATGCAGCATAAAATTAAAATCCGTGACCAATAATTTAAATTATTAATCTGAGAAAAAACTAAAAGCAAAAACTAAAAGGGAAATTAAAAAAAATTAGAAATGAATATACCTTTGATTCGATCTGATACTTTAGCAGAAATTGAAGAAATTAATGGGAAAGAAAAAGAAAGAGTATTTATTTATAATTAAAAGTGAAAGAGATGAAAAAATAATCAAGAGTTACGTTGTTAAGGAGAAGAGAAGATTGATGTTATTTATAGTGGGCGCACCGATGAGAGAGAAACACCAATTACTTATGTTTATTTTATTTTTATTTTTATTTTTATTTTTTAATATTTAATAGGGGCTTGTTCTTTCCTTTATTTACCACCGACGTCTCCTCATTTTCATGTTTATTATGCTCTCTATTAATAATTCATACATAGATTTTGTTTTTTTTTTTGTTGAGGAAACATAGATATTTTATTAAACTAATCTTTCGTCTTTGTATTCCGTATAATGCACCAATTCTGTAAACTATATGATTTATAAAAGAAATGTGATTGTAGACTTTTGAGTGTGTTTGGATTGAAGAAAATAGAGGGAAAAGAAGGAAGGGAAATGAAAGGAGGGAGTATCTTTTATTTGAATAGCAAATTAGGGATGAAAGGAATTGGAGGGAAAAGAAATTGAGGGATTAAATTCTAAGAAAATTTGAAGAGATTTGGAAAAAAAACTCTCCATTCTTCCTCCCTCTTCCCTCCCCTTCTTTCCTTCCCTTAACTTTACCCAAACAAGCTAAGAAATACCACAATTAGCTGATTGGCTGAGTAACTAATAAAGACAGGCAATGTCAAGATTGACCTTTCTACTTGTAGATAGAAGTGTATACATCAAATACTCTCCATTAATAGTGAATTATAATTTTAGAGTGTGTACACTTCACATGATTGTTGAGTACTAATTAGTCATATTTAAACTTCTTTTATTTCCTCAGGAAAAAGTGAAAATAAGGTAAATAAATAAGGCGTTAAATTAAAAATTATCTTTTTATAATTGACTTATTATAGTTTAAACTTTTAACCCTACGTATAAATTAAGATATACAAGACTGGATACTCTGTATTGATGGTTACTCCGTACAATAGAACTTTGACATTGATGTAAGAGTTTGGAATTTTGGATTAATAATAGAAATTCAATTAATTTGCTTTAAAAAACTATTTAAGAAACTAAAATTATAGAAAATGAGAAGATGATTGATAGTGATGGTGTACTAATCAGTAGGTTAGAATAGATTGGAAGGGTAAGATAAGTAAAATAAAAGTGAGTGATGTTGGTGGCGGGCGAATTGTGCAACAACTTGATCGGAGCTCCACGTAGATACTAGATCATGATGATGGCCCACTTCTATGAATAATTAATTTTCTCAGCTCTTCTTCTTCGATGTACCAACTTTTAAATGATTTTAAACCCTCTATAATTGTTGCAATTATCATTTTCGTTTTTCCCATACATAAATGTTTGGAGAAGATGAATTTTTACAATGGTTTCATGATTCGTTTATTGATTGACCTCTACAAGTATAGCTTACTTTTAAAAATGGTTTTAAGAGAATGCATAGTGCAAAACCTCATTATGAACACAATTGGATTATATTATGAAATGAACTTTTTTAGTACCTACAAAATGAGAAGGTTTTGCGTGAAACGGGACTCACCGTGAGTCCAATATGTCTGACAATAATATTCTAATATCTAACAATGATATTTTAATATCTGACAATAATAATCTAATACCAAACAATAATAATCTAATACTTGACATTAATATTTTTAGGGCTTATTTCCCCCACATTCTCCTCTGATTTTCTCTTTCCTTAGCCTTCTCCTCAATAAACGCATCTCCTCTTTCTCTCTCCTCAAGATGAAGGTGCTGCATCAATGGCGAAATTTTCGATGGCCAAAGAATCACTCACAATGCTCATGTCAATGGCGGCACCTTCATCATCATCATTTGGATCGTCTTCTTCGCGGCACCTTCGTCATCATCATCTGGATCGTCTTCTTCAATCCTACTTCTATATGCTTCGATCTTCCTATGTCAATGGCGGCACCTTCATCATCATCATCTGAATCGTCTTCTTTGCGGCACCTTCATCATCATCATCTGGATCGTCTTGTTCGATCCTGCTTCTGTATGCTTCGATCTTTCTATACTCCGATTTTCGATGAGTCACGGTAATCGTATTTGGGCAGCGGACTCACGGTGAGTCCGTCTCACCCAAAATTTTTCGCCTACAAAATTCACAAGTCTCCTTTTAATCTACAACGAACGATTATATTATTTTGTTGGGTCTTTAAGAAATAATGACCTTTTTAGCACTCAAAAAATTTAGGAGTGAAAAATATTTAAGCAAATAGCGGAATAGACTTGTTTATAATATGCTTAGAATGATATTTTTACTAGGTGTATTTCAAAATAACATTAATAATTTATTTATTTTTGAATGGAACATTAATGCCTTAAACAATAAAAAATAAAAATAAAAACTCAAATTTATAGAAATGACTAGAGGTAGGATTGAAGTGTTAAAAAATACTTCCCTCTCTTATTTTCTTAAGTTTGTTTTATTACTTATTAGGATTGTCCCTTTGAGTTTGCTTCATACCATAAATAATCATAGAAAATCACTACTTAATTTTCACAAACATTATTATTATTAAAGAAGGTTTTGCGTGAGACCGGACTCACCGTAAGTCCCATATATCTGACAATAATATTCTAATATATGACAATGATATTTAATATCTGACAATATCTAATACCAAACAATAATAATCTAATACCAAACAATAATAATCTAATACCTGATATTAATATTTTATGGCTTTAAGTGGAGAATTCTCCTGCAGCAAACAAGAAATTATGTTGTTGTTCATCTTGTTAGTGCATTTCTTCTAATTTTTCATCCTCGGATTCTCCCAATCGCCCTAAGATCGGAAACATCGCCGAAAGAAGTGAAGAAGATGATGGATGAGATGGACAAAGACGGGGGTTGTTCTGTCCTTGTGGCAGAGCTTCGGTGACGGCTTCCGATGAAAAGTGGTTTCTAAACCCAGAAAGATATACTTCAAATCCGCTGGAAAATCGAGACACTCTGTCGTATTAACCACCTATGACGTCATGGTTGTTGCTGCGGAAGACGATGATGTTTCAATCTAAGTCGGTTATGAAATTCTCCGAGTTTCACGCCGAATCTGGTGGCAATATAAAGGAGGAGAGAGAAAGAAGTGGAGTAGAAGGAGGTTTGAGCTTGAGAAGGATAACAATGGCGGAGCAGTAGTATTGTTGTTCCTCTGTTTTTTTTTTTCTTTTCTTTGCCTCTTCCTGTTTCTAGTATTTGTGTAGAGAGACTCACAGTAGGTCCGTTCTACACAATTTTTTTTCTTATTATTATTGGTGAAAACAAACATTACAAAGTACTCGGTATTGTTACTATTTTCAAATAAAAAAAAAGAATACTCCGTATTGTTGATCACACCAATATCCTACATAATCAACGTCACATAGTGAACCTACACCCGTTGAGCAAACAAAAGAAGATGGATGAAGTTGGATGGACATATCTTTGTAGTGCACATTGGGCATTAGGTTGGGCTGAAGCAAATGACCTGATTGAGATGGGACTAAAGTTGGATCAGGCCACTGGTCGGTCCATTACTCCTGTATAAAAAAACACTTTAGGATTAACTAAGGTTATAAATTGTAATCTATCTCTAAAGCCAGATCATGATCTTATAAATGGCTGTTGAACCAAATGGACCAGAATTGGACCTTTTTAAAAGTCGTCGCTTATTCAGCAAATTTATCACAATTATTGTGCCAATTAGGCGTTATGTACTTATGTGTAATACTAGTACTAACTCCATATACATCAACTTTTTATACACTGACATATTATTATGGAGTAGCAACCAAGAACTACACCATCAATAATTCAATACTATGAGTTTATTTGATCAAGTTACAGGGTTATTACATAAAACAGCTATTTTTGTTGTTCGATTAAAACAGATTTTTCAAAGAGCTGATTTTAATTGATTCCATTGAAATTAAAATTTAAAAATCGGTTTTTTATTCCTTTTAAAAAGTTAATTGAGAAATTTTAACCAAATGGCTATTTTATCCTACAGTTACTATGATTTACATGGATTATATCCCTATCCACCCAAATTACAATGTCCTTATTTGTCATCTCCCATGCTCAATTAACTAAACAAGTACAAATTATCAGCTAATTTTACCAAAAATTTTTATACAAATTGCAAACAGTTATAATTAATTAATTATATTATTTCAAAAAAAATAAAAAAATAATCAATTAATCATATAATGCAACGAACTTCTCATGTCGGTTTGTGCAACTAGCTCTTGATAACTAGCTATCATTTAATTGCCTAATATGCATGCAAACCATTTATTTGCAACACAAACCATTAACATGTAGTTTTACTAATTATTCATCCAATTAGATTTACATCTATTATGTTAGCCTACAAGAAAAAGTACTGTGTGTAAACTTTATACTTTGGTTCTTAATACCTTACTCCTTCCAATTCAACACCATGAAATTTACATAGCCTTTTCTTTCGCACATAGCCTTGACACTTTCTTCTTATTGAATCTTTTCGTTTAGTCCATGGCTTTATGTAACCCTTTACGGGTTTGGTTTATTAGCAACAACATTGTCTCCTTCCTTAAATATATCGACTAATTTTAAGCTAGGTTGTGTTACTTGTGTAATTTTTGAAAGTACTATCCAAGACAATAAGAGTTCGTTTGAAGCAATCAATTTCTTTCAAGCATGAAGATTTTAAGCTTTTGTTATTGCGTTTAATTTAATTTGTTGGTCTGTAAAAGACGGTTTAGCTCGTTTTAGCCTATTGTTGAAATTATATGTTTGTAGTAATTGATTAAGGCTGTGTTTGTAGTAAAAAAAAGGGTGACATAAAAGGGAAGCAATGAAGAAATATTTGAGTGAGGGGGAGGGGGGGGGGGGGGGAATCTACACTATAATCTACTTGTATATGCAAAATAAAGAAATAATGTGACATTTAGAGAGGGGTCAATTTTGATAAATTGGTCGGATAAATGGCGCAAACCATGGCAATATTTTGGGCATTCCTTAGTGCAATAGCAAGTAGAAACTTTGCAGGCATCCTAGATAAAAGGATCCCAACAACTTAACAAAGAAAGTGTAGTAAAAGGAGTAGGAAAGTAGCATGTAATAACAATGAAAAAGGAACTCATGGACCCTCAATAATCATCATCTAAACCCATGCTACATATATAAAGAACCCATTATATATGTAAAACTATAATAGCGATTTGATCAAGTTAATTAATTAGCTTAACATCCACAACAAAACCTTACTCTAAGGTTCACTATTCGCATGTTAAGCTTGGCGAATAATGCAATTTCTTCAAATTAAAGCAGTAATTATTTTATTTGGGGATAAATGAGGTGACAATAATTCATTAGCATGTTTAAACTCTATTTTCTCAGACTGAATTAATCCAAACTGAAATTCTAAAGAAAAATGTTTGAAAGTACAAAGTTAGCAATAGACTATATAACTCCTAATATAGTAATATTACAACTCTTACAAGAAGTTAAAAATAAACTTAATACTCCGTAATATTTATCTAACTAATAATTCATCTTAAATGGCCGTTTAATTTTGACATTATTAAATGTTTTAATCATAATTTTTTGGTGAGGGAGTGGTGGTGGTGTATGATGCTTTCCCATTGTTGGTCCATAGGAAAGGAGGAGGCATAGAAAACTTTTGCAATCATTTAAATTTGCCCAAGCTAACGTCTTAAGAAATTGACTCAACTCTTGGTACTTTTTCTATTTTCCATTCAAAATTCCAACGTATACTTTCTTTTGCCTTTTATGCTAACAACTATTTACAATCTTCTTGTAGACGTCAGCTACTTTGCCAGCTTGCCTAATGCTGGTCTTAACGAAATTAATCTAATTGTAATCTAGCTAGGTGTTGCGCCTTGTATATTAGTGTCTTCGTGCCTCTACCTCCGACGAGTGTATAAGTGTATTATGTAAAACGTTAGTTGCTAAAGTATCCTTTGAAATGGACGATTTTACAAGATTCTGATCCTCTTACCTCTATTGAACAAAAAGTTTGCCATGTCTATTTACGATAAAAGATCGCTAAATACAATTATTATATATACGCGATTTACAATTATGAAGTATAGAGTCATGCATTAAAAAGACTTTTAATATATTTTTCTTTTTTTCATATAATATTGAGAAGTTTTAATACAGACTTTTGAATTTGTATTCCATAGTTCATACTTCATAATACGCATCTTTTAAATTTGTATCTAATACCTCTGCTAACTCCATTTACATTATACACCATAGTCTACAGTTCTACACCAAACAAGACTTTAAACAATGATTTTTTTTTTTTTTTTTTTTTTTTTTTTTTTTTTTGAAATAAATAATGATTTTTGGCTTAACATGTCTTACCCATATTTTATAGAGTCAAAAACAGAGTTACAACCGTCACCCCAAACAAACGGTTCATCACTCTCAATCCACAAAATTTTTTAAAAATTACAAAATCCAATCAACCCCACCAAAAAAAAGTAAAATTAAAAACAAAATAAAGGTTAAAAAACGGCAATATTCCTATGTAGTGAGAGAGTCTTTAACTTGACGCCCTCTTTCCCTTCCATTTCTGTCTCTCCAGTTTCTCATCATATTCGCCAACTTCCATCCTCTTCTTTCTTGCCACATTTACACAATTTTATTTATTTTTAGTTTTATTTAATAATCCGATTTTCTAGGGTCATTAAATTTGACTCATCATCAAAATTCATGCTTAATTAACCACCCATTTCCCAATTATATAACTTCCCATATCAAAATTTTAGAAAGAGAGATTAGCAGAGATGCGGCAAGAGAAAAGCATTTATGGAGAAACTCCAAACAAGAATAGTATGAAGGGATTAAAGGCTTTACTTTCTAACGACTCTGATGATATCTTCACTGATCATGAACTTGCTCTTCGTAAAGCTGATGAAGCAGGTTCTTTTCTTTATTTCTCTTCTTTTTTTTATTTAATTTCGAAACGAGTCGGAGGATTCTTAATAAAATTAAGTAGAATTACTCGCGTTAATGCATGAGATATAAACTTTACCACTCGTAGAAATCAATTTTAATACGTAGTAACGTAGTAGATAATGTTATTGGGGAGTTACTCTGAACTATTTTTTTTTTTTATAAAGTTAAGATTATGTAGAATTTGAGTATTTCAAAATTCGTGATTAAAGTTAGTATTGATTTTGATTAGCGTAAACTAGTTTCAATTTATACATGGTACGGGGTATAAGTTAGTTTTGAGTACAGATCAGTTGAACACAACACGACTTTATTAAAATAGGCGAAATAAGCAATTGGAGTATTAAATACGAAGTATAGAATAATGTTACTCGTAGTTTTTAATGTGCAGAGTACATAACAAGCCATAACTCTTAACTCTTAACACATCATATATTATATACTCCGAATAATTATCGTATAAAAGGAAAGACATTGCATAAAAGGCTAGTGTCAGTAGTATTGCATGAATTTGTTTTGTTGAATTATTATGAGACCAAGATTTATTATACTATAAAAAATTAATTAGGCCGGATGTAAGATGTTCAAATGGGTTGCACAATTTACGGTGATCACGTGAATTGCATAAGTTTGAACGAACTGATATAAGTTAGGTGGCGCCACATTTATCACTATAATATTAACTTGATGAATTTGCTTGTACGTACAAGATGTAGATCCAAACTACTCATACTTTATATTAATTAATCAACTTAACTACAACTAAAAATTTGATACTCCAGTATGGAGTAGTAGGCTAGAATTAGCAACAATGGTAATTTTGATATTTGTATCTTCTCTTAAAGGAGAAGTGTTCAAATTATTCTCCCTACTACCTACTTGATTGTCGTTTATTTGAATCTAACAAAGTCACACGATGTAGAAAATTGTAATATACTCACGTTAGCCTAAAATCAATCGATGGTACTATGGTAGGATGTCTACTCTTCTTTAAGAGACTTAACTTCCTATATTGTTGGAAACTTGGAACCAGCTTTTAGGAGCATAATGTTACTTCTTAGTAACTAACTCTAAGATATGGATTTTAAATTGAATTAGGAGTATGCTTGTCAACCAAAATGTATGTGTTTTTTTAATTAGTCGCTCTAAAAATGGATCATTAAATTGAATTACTCGTGTATTTTTTTTATTGTTTTAAAGCTTACGTGTCTCCTTATAAATCGTCAAAATCATAAAATCGATTTGATTTTCCTCGTTATAAATTCGGAAGAGAATATTTGGGAAAGCAATATTAATAAAAAACTCACTAGATTCTCTACGGTAGGAGTACAAATAAGGGACAATCAGATTTGTTTTTGTTTCTGTTTAGACAAAAATACTGATCTAAGATGCTATTGGACAATGATTATAATTGAAAAAAACAAGATGGGCCCAAAAAAGGGATAATGGGGCTCATTATGATGTTGAGCCGTTAAGGTGGGCCAGGATGGCCCATTTGATTAGTAAGTAAATTAGACCAAGTGGGCCCACAAACGGAATTGGATCCCCTTGCCCTTAATAAGTGCCATTTTAGGTGGACTTGCCTTACTAATAAAGGTTGGGACCTCAAGTTAATGATGATTAAGGAAGTATAATAATCT